TAAAATTAAAAAGGAATGTTTAGTGTTACCATATATTCCAGGTTTAACTACTGGTTTATTTAAAATTTTTAAAAAACAACAAATGTTTTGCTATATATTTAAACCGATAAGTAAGATAAAACAAATTTTAGGCAATAGTAAATATGCTATACAATTAATGGATAAATTTGGAATTTATAAAATTGAATGTGAATATGGAAGTATCTATATTGGACAAAGAAAACTTAATTTAAAATATCATATAGCCGAACATAAGAGATGTATAAAAAATAAAAAAACAGAAAATCGGCTAGAGCAGAACATGTAAGTAAAACCGAAAATAACATATTATGGGAAAAAATAATTGTATTAGTTCATCCTAAAGGTATTACAGTAACTAATACTCGAGAAAAGCTGGAAATAATGAAATTTAAAAAGAATTATAAATTATTAAATAGAGATGAAGGTCCGGTGAATATCCGTCTAAGAATGTGGCAAGACCTGTTCTGATATTTATGTACAAATGCAAAGTTACAGACATGTCACGTGATATTTATGAAAATATATATTGTGAAATTTATATCTTGAAACTTCACTCCTGAAGATGATGTGTGATGCATCAAAACATATTGTGTGACATGTTTATTACCCAGTACTTGATTCATCATTAATTCCTAATGACTTTACAATGCAATTGCCATCATGGATCGTATTATGGTCCCATTCTTTTCCAAAATAAGATTTCTAAAGAATTAAGAGCCAAATGACTAAACATTTCTAAGAAGGGAGTCTTCAATATTAGCCACAGAAATAAAAAACTAACATGATAGAGAATTTAGGATAGTATTGGGCTTCAAACAAATCAAGCCAATCCTCAGCATCACACTCATCTGTAATATGAAAGCTGTAGTTATAAAAGAAAACCATTTAACCCAAAAAGTCAATGTGATGAAAGTACATCTCTTAATGCTGTTTACATGTCTTTCTTTGATGGATAATAGTAAGAGTAAGAATGAGTAGAAAAACATACAGTAAATGTTAAGCTAATATAAGATTTCACCTAAAAACTGGAAAGAGCTACATCTAAAAAAGAAACTGGATATTTTTTAAAACTCAGCTTGCAATTAAACCTGAAACCAAGCAATGATGTATTTAATAAACTCATGGCCAACATAAAGAACTTAGCTAAGTAGTGTCTTCAATTTTAAGAAACTTCTAGATTAACATAAGAGTGGTAATTTTCTGAAGTTTTTGGTGCATTTGATGTTGCATTGAAAGATTATTTAACGGAGATAAGAGCACAGGAGATTATAAACCATTATCTTGTTAAAAAAATTTAAAATGAACTCATACAACTTGTAGCTGAAAAATCATGCACATCACTGTGAACTTGGTAAAAAATATAAAATACTTGTAAAAACACATATCAAAGAGATGGAGATTGATGTGAATTCTTAACCAGAGATTTCAATTATTGATACCACTATTCATTCTCTGCAAGAGAAAGATTAGTTCAATTAAAACAAAACAGTGAATTGTATGGTATGTTAAGATTTAAAAAGGAAAGTTCAGATGGCATTACAAAGCAGTGCATGGGTGTTGACATTACTCTTGCAGATTAACAATCTCAGTTGAGAGACATAAAATAAACCGCAGGTCTATATATCTAATACACACCAAATAAAATACAGATAAGTAAGTTCTTGCAAAACAGATATATTTGTTATTCATGGCAATATAAGTTACTTACTGAACATCTGAACACATGCTAATCTATTTTGTTTGGGTATCATTTGATATTTGAAATGTATGTACATGATATTTGTAGAAATAGTCACTATTGAAGTACTATCTATATTACTTGGAAGTAGTTACTGAATAGGTAGTTCTTCCTAGTAACTATTCACTGGTAGTTTAATTCATTGTCGTCATGTCTACTTAAAACAAATTTGTTCATTATGAATTGAAATTATTAAAAAACAGCTATTGGAATAAGCATATCAACCAGAAATATGTTACGTCTCTGCTTGTTTGTTCATTTCCGGTATACATTTTTTCCAAGGAACTTCAGAGATACAAGTCCTTTCTTGATTAAACCAGTTTATTCTTTCTCAATACAAATTTTAGTAATACACAGAATTTCCAC